AACCCCAGAAGAAAAAGTACAAGGGAGACAGGTCAGGTGAACTACTCGATTAGCTACTCGATTGCGCTCCTTTTTCCTATCTATCTTTCAGGAAAAGTGTTGTTTAAAATATTCCGCACTTGTAATCCAAAATGTGGAGGAGCACCGTCCTGCTGAAACCAAACTGAATCAAAATCTGGACCAAAAATGTTGCGAAGAGTTGGTACAATATCGTCTCGGAGCATGGCCTCATACCTTTATGCTGTCAGATTGCCGTCAATGAAAAATTATGTGCTGTCCAATTATTCCCGCCCAAACATTTAGTTTTTGTGGATATTGGCTTTTGGATTCTCTCATTCAATGCGGATTAGAATCATTCCAATATCGACTGTTATGTCTATTTACTGAACCGCCTAACATAAATGTAGCCTCGTCTGAGAAAACAATTTTGTTTTGAAATTTCGGTTGATCATCAATTTTTGCATCATTATATCACAAAATTCGAGTCGACCATTAAAATCATGTGCAAACATTATTCCTGAACAAAATTTATTTTATATGGGTGAGATGTGGAATTTTTGAGAACACGCAGAACAGATTTATAGCTGCAGTCATGAGCCTGGGCAGCTTTTCGTGTAAAGGTATGAGGATCTTCTACAAATGATTGTATTGGGTGAGTGCAAAAGTTCGTGCGGAGTTTGTGAGTAAAAGTCACACAGTGATTAGGCAAACAATCTTTATTCAATCAATGATATATTCTCCATCGTTTTCTATAATCTTTTCCCAACGTTCTGGCAGCATACGGATGCCTCGATCATAAAAACTGCGCGGTTTAGATTCGAAGAACGAAGAGACGCCGTTTTTTAAGGCCTCCAAAGAGTCAAAGTTTTTTCCATTTAAATAATTTTGCAATGACCGGAACAGGTGATAGTCAGATGGTGCGATATCAGGAGAATACGGTGGATGCGTTAAGACATCCCATTTCAGGCTCTTCAGTTTGCGCAGCGTCTTTTTCGAAACGTGTGGTCTGGCGTTGTCGTGATGAAAGACGACTCCCTTGCGATTTGACAAAATCGGACGTTTCTCTTTTATTTCTCGATTCAGATTGGTTAATTGGCGACAGTACTTGTCCGAATCAATCGTTTCGTCAGCGGGGAGAAGCTCGAAATAGATTATGCCCTTGCAATCCCACCAAACAGAGAGCATCACCTTCATCGGGTGCAAACTGGCCTTTGGCATTGCGTCACCATGCTCACCTGATTGTTTCCATGTCCGTTTGCGCTGAACATTGTTGTAGAGGACCCATTTCTCATCGCCCGTCACTAGTCGATCCAAAAACGACTCGTTATTGAGCCGCCCGAGTAAAGAAACGGCTGCAGAAATTCGCTTGATTTTGTTCTTCTCGGTCAGCAAATGGGGCACCCATATATCGAGCTTCAAATCGAATCCCATCTTTTTTAAACGCCGAAAAGCGGTTGATCGGTCAACGTTTAGTGCTGTAGCAACTTCTTCTGTTGAAATTCGCGGATTATTGAGCACTAAAGTACGCAAAACATCGTCATCAATGTCAGAAGGTCGACCAGAGCGTGGCTTGTCTTCAAGGTTAAATTCTCCGCGCCGAAATTTAGCAAACCATTTTTCCACAGTTCGTTTAGCTGGTGCTTCATCCTGATAAACATCCTGAATGTTTTTTACGGCTGCGGCAACGTTTATTCCCTTCCGAAACTCGTAAAGCATAACATGCCGTAAATGCACCTTATCGATACTCATTTTTAAAGATATTTCTCGAAGCAGTTTGTATGAAAACAAATGATTTTTTTTTTAATAACAGCTGAAGACGTCACCTTTCCAACGTTATATAATATGTAGATGGAAGTATTAATGACAACACTTTACGACGCTTATAACTCCATCTATTGAAACTCCGCACGAACTTTTGCACTTACCCAATAATATTTCTATCGAGATGTCTTCATTTAGTTGTGAAATAAATTATATGATCCGTTTTGAATCTTGTGACGGAAAAGTATTTCCCCGCTGTGATACTCAGTAAATATTGTAACTTTTGATTGAAGTCGTAGCGAACTTTCTCAAAAAACATTTTTTTCGTCTTTAAAACACCTTTAAAATGAGCTCTCAGTTGACCTTTCATACCATTTAAGATTTTTAAGTCACCCCCGCCCTCGTGCCCCAAGGAGGTAGGGGTGGATGCCATCCTGCACAAAAATAGCTTTCATGATCCAATACAACTTCTCCAAATTTCATCTAGACTTTCTATCTAGATTCGTTCAAAAGTTATGAGGGTGTATCCAGACTTTTGTCCCACCCCGTATAATATTTAAGACTCCTTGTTCCATCTTTCGATAAATTTCAGATTATCTGACAGATTATTATCTAAAAAATAAGTTTTATCGAGAATTTTACTCGTTACTTAAACATAAGCGTTGTTCCACAGTTATTTATCCTATTGGTAGTTTAAAAGCGATATATCGCAATAATTATTTCCAGAAACGTTTGTCATAACTTTAAGTGAGTACATATACTAGGTGCGCAACTAAGTTTCCGGGTTTTTTTGATCAATGAAAAATGGAAAATTTCAAGAGAAATACAAAAAATGGTTTATTCAAAGTATCGTCCCTCGCTAGCTACAAATTTTTGCCATCTCTCTGGCAATATATGAATACCGCGACGATAAAACGACGCGTCTTTGGACCGAAACCATTCATCCAACCAATTTTGCACTTCTTCGAAATTGGCCAAGTATTGTCCAGCCAAGCCATGCGCCATCGACCGGAACAAGTGATAATCGGAAGGGGCCAGGTCTGGCGAATACGGCGGGTGCGGTAGCAGATTCCATTTCAGCGTTTTGATGGTGTCCTGAACGATGGAAGTGCAATGGCACGGAGCGTTGTCATGCTGCAATATCACTCGTTCGTGTCTCGTGTCCCATTCTGGCCGTTTTTCGAGCAATGCATGGCTCAAATTGATCAGTTGTTGTCGGTAGCGATGCCCATTGACAGTTTCGCCCGGTTTCAGCCCGGTTTCAGCAGCTCATAGCACACGATTCCTTTCTGGTCCCACCAAACGCAGAGCATTGTTTTCTTTCCGAAGCGATTTGGCCGTGCCATCGATGTTGATGCTTCGCCAGGTGAAAGCCACGATTTTTTGCGTTTGGGATTCTCGAAATATATCCACTTCTCATCGCCAGTAACAATTCGATGCAGGAAACTCTTTCTTTCATGTCGCAAAAGCAAAATTTCGGAAGTAGCTCTTCGATTTTCCATCTGTCTCTCAGTCAACTCATGCGGCACTTATTTTCCTTCCTCTTGAATTTTTCCCATGGAATGTAAACGTTTGGAAATACCTTGGCGAGTCATATTTAATGCCTCCGCAAGTTGATCTTGTGTTTGCGTATTATCTTCATCCAATAACGCTTGCAGATCGGCGTTCTCAATTGTTTTTGGTCTTCCGGAGCGCTCCTTGTCCTCAGTATCGAAATCGCCATTTCTTAAGCGTTTAAACCAATCTTCACAGGTAGTTTTCGATGGTGCATGTTCGCCGTAGGCTTTCTCAAACAAACGACGTGCTTCAGCTGCACTTTTTTTCAAGTTAAAGCAGAAAAGCAAAGCTTCCCGCAAATGCTGTTTATTTGATACAAAACTCGACATCTTCGTTGTTAGAAAAAATATTTTTGCGTTGCGATATATGTTGGTATTACGACTGGTTATTGTTAACAAATGTCCAAGCTATAAAAAAACACAACTTCAGACACGTATGTCGACTACATGTGTCGTTAGCGCCATCCATGTGTGAAACCCGGAAACTTAGTTGCGCACCTAGTATATGATCTGTCATGATGGATTTAACAGTTATAACTTTTATAATCTAGCGAGATATAATTATATTAGCTTAAAAAGTTATATTAAAATGTTATATTGTTATATTAATAAAATACAGATAAGATATAACCTTTATATACATGACAAATATATGGTGAATGATAATATTTTAATAATTTATGTTAATAGGTGGCTGAACCAAGAAAAGAGAAAGAGGGAAATTATCTGGACAATGCATTTGCAAAATCTAAACCGTCTTAAAAAGTCCATATCATCATATTTATTAAATAAATCTAGACGAGGACGAACTGTATATTGTTTGCGAATCACCATCCTTATTTCTAAATTCTTCGTTGTCATTTTTATTATCATAAAGAAATTTATTTTCGTACAATTCTGGTCCCATTTTAATATATAATAAATTATATATAATATAATAAATAATATTTCGGATAACCTAACCATTGCATCATACGCTTTCTATCCTCATCATGTATTTATCTGCCAGATAAGTGGCTTATACGGTACTCCAAATACCGTGTAATATATCGCTCAGAATTAGTCACTTACCAGAAACAAATTTTATCGAAAGAAACATCGAATTAGAACAATGCAAGTCAGCTATTTAACCATTAGTTAAATTACCAGATAGTTTATTTGAAGGTGGAACAACCGGCTCTTAAAGAACGAAATAACATTTACAAAATTTTTACTTTTTGCACGTTTTATGAGGTATTGAATCTTTATCATTATTTATATCAATTATATCAACAATTTCAGCAACATTTTTGTGGAATTGAAAAGAATATATTTAATATACTTTTTATAGATGTTCATTACGTTTTCTGTTGATTTCTGAGATTTCTGTGATTGTGTTAATCCCGCGTTCTGCTATATTAAGTGACATTTTATAAATATAAATTTTAAGAACTGCACTAGGATTAAGATGGGGAAATATGTAAACTCAAAATGTTTATAAGATTATAAGAAATGGATAAAACTAAAAAGTATCGGATTAACTTGCATAATAGATCGATATAGTAATATAACTTTTTAAATACTTCTGAACTGATTCAAATCGTTGTAGGTTTTACGAAAAAGATGCGAAAAGATATTCAATTTTTTAAAGTTAGGAGTATTTCTTATATAATCATTTATATATTTATCGTTGTTCTGTTACAGGAAAAGGACAAGCCGAACAGTACAACGATGAATGGCTCACCAGGTAATGCCGGCATGGGTGATCAAATGGGTGTTAAAATTGAGCCAGCAGAAGCTGAATCATTGTCCATGTCTGGAAGTAGTGGCATTCTTACCCCCGTTAGTCCTTATGCTTGTGTAAAACCGCCGACACCTACGCCTATCAGCCCAGAGCAGGACGAACTGATAAACAGGCTGGTATCTTTCCAATGTGACTTTGAGCAACCGAGCGAGGAAGACTTAAAAAGAATAACTGTACGTATTACATTTTATATTCGACTTTATATATTATCAGTATTATTGATTTATGAATATTTATTTTATAAAAGTAAAACAAGCCTGAGAATAAAGAAGTTTTTAGAACTTTAAAAAAAAAGTATTTTTTAATGTATGTTTCCACATATATTTTGTACAATAAGTACGAAAGGCTTTTTAAAGGCTTTAAAAAGCTTTTCATATTTTTACTTAATCTTTTGAGTACGAAAAAATATAATACAAGAATATGCTCTATGTGACTGTGTGACTGAAACTCAGAAAGATTGACAAACAATTAATTTGATAACTAGCAATGTCAGATAGAGTAGAAAAAATTAGTTTTCAACATAATATAATAAAACTTATAACTAGAATTATTACTAACAAACTAAGAAAATAAATATACAACTGAAGTTTCTGAAAATAATTTATAATGAATTCTGAATGCACATACATATTTGCTCATAGATTGTAGCGAACATCTTAGTTTGAGCGCATATATACGCATATGCATTCATGCATGGAGAATTCTTAAAGCGTTAAAGGTATATTTTTTACAAACAGAATTTCCAACAGAATTTTCGACAGAAATTTTTTCAACAGAAATTTCAACAAACAAAATCTCTCAAGAAAGATATGTTCTCGTTGTTCGGATAGTTTCTAAATAGTTAATCTAAAATCAATAATGCAAAGTTTTAAAAATTACATAATAATGATTTCTTGTATAAAAATATATAAAATAATTTTTCATTAAATAATTTTTTGAAGAAAAAATAAACAATTTTCGATAAAAATTAATTTCATTATTGTGTTTTTCTTATTATGTTCTGAAAAGAAACCCTACCAGGTCTGTAAATATGAAACCGGAATTTGCCCATAGATGGCCCTAGCTGTCAATGTAGTTACCGTCAAACCGCGTCATTGGCGCCATTTCCATTTGTTGACATCTGACAAAGATTTTCAACTTACAACAATACAAGTTTCATACAACAGCATAGTTTGTAATAGTGTTGAACATGTCGAATTTTGTGCCTGGAAGCTACGATTTGCGGACAGCATTGATTTTCTTACCATTTGAAGAAAACTGCTGCAGAATCGCATCGAATACTTGTCGAAGCTTACGATGAGCATGCGCTTCGTAAATCACAGTGCTTTGAATGGTTTAAAAAATTTAAACGTGGCGATTTTTACGTGAGAAACGAAGAACGTGGAAGACCACTGAAAAAGTTTGAAGATAGCGAATTGCAAGCATTGTTGGATGAGGATGACGCTCAAACGCAACAACAACTCGCGGATCAATTAAATGTGATACGAGAAGCCGTCTCCATACGTTTGAAAGCCATGGGAAAGATCCAGAAGATGGGAAAATGGATTCCACATGCACTGAATGAAAGACAGCAGGAAAATCGAAAAACCACTTGCGAAATGCTGCTCGCCAGGTACAAAAGAAAGTCATTTCTCCATCGAATTGTGACTGGCGATGAAAAGTGGATATATTTTGAGAATCCTAAGCGTAAAAGATCATGGGTAACTCCAGACGAACCATTGACATCGACTGCAAGGCCAAATCGCTATGGACGGAAGACAATGCTCTGTGTTTGGTGGGATCAGGATGGTGTGATCTATTATGAGCTGCTAAAACCTGGCGAAACCGTTCATATTGAACGCTACCGATAACAAATGATCGATTTGAATCAAGCTTTGGGTGAAAAACGACCAGAATATCAAAAAAGGCAACGCAAAGTGATTTTGCTTCATGATAATACACCATCACACACAGCAAAACTGATCAAGGAAATGATTGAGGCGTTTAGTTGGGAAATACTTTCGCATGCAGCTTACTCACCAGATTTGGCTCCGTCCGATTACTTATTCGTATCGACACGCACTTGCTGAGCAGCGCTTCACTTCTTCCGAAAATGTACAAAAATTGCTCGATAACTAGTTTGCCTCAAAAGAGCAATAGTTTTTTTGGCGTGGCATCCACAAATTGTCAGACAGGTGGGAAAAATATATAGCTAGCAATATGGGCAATATCGCCCTTCGAATAAAATATTTTTTATCATTTTTATACAATAAACGTGTATTTTCTATACAAAAATTCCGGTTTCATATTTACATACCTGATATATATGAACGAATAATTTGATGACAGAAAAATGACTGCAAGGTAGAAGTCAATTAGATTAACAACTTTTTAGATATTTTCCAGTCAAGCTTCACAAAAGTAATTTCGAGGAAAACGCGTTCAATATTCTAATACCGATCATATTAAAGAGATCAATATATATGATTTTATAAAATCCACACCATGTGTATCTCGAAATCATATTATGAACTCCTCTGAACATTTCAGCAGCGAAAATTTTCTACAGTACTGAAGTATTTGCAGAACAATTTTCTTTTATGTGTCATTTCTTTTATGCTATGTTTGAATTCAACTACGCTAAATCAATACTCTTATCCATCTTTTCTTATCTTTATAATTATAATATAGTTAAGTTTAATTTTTATGTTTTTTCATTATTTTAAACCCCTATTTTAAAACCCTTTCAATACACCAAGAATTTACCAAATTGCATTCCCCAGCGACTGAGAGCCATTTTATACTAATTATATGAGTGGTTTTTCTTCTTTCAGTTGCCAAATTTTTTTTGCAATTTTTTTATCTATTTTTATTTTATGACAGATTTTCAAATCTTTAAAGTAAAAATTAAAACTTATATCACGACTGTTTGTGACAGACTGATTATAATCAGAGTAACAAGCATATGTCATTTTGACGTTGAATATATAGTATATTTATGTAAATGACTTTCAGTAAACAAAGACTGACATATTTAAGTTTTTAAAGAATATACTTATGTTTTTATAACAACATATTCCGATCTAGCGTTGTAATGTCTTATTTTAACATTACAGTCAGCATTACGTCTATATCAAAATTTAACATTTGTACATAATAATTCTTAATTGCCTTTTTTGTCTAATAATTATTGTGTTGCTGGATATGTTCGTAAGCCAATTTGTCATCATCATAAATATCGTCGCTTATTGACTGTTGATTATTTTCAGTGTTTGCTAGTAAATATAACCCGTGGGAGGCACACTCCATTTCCGTACTCACTTCAGGCACACGGGTGCGAATTGGGATCTTCAATTTTCAACTTCTTTCTTATATCTTCGATACAGTAATAAATAAATTTAAGTTTGACCATGTTTTTTTATGTAAAATTTCCTCAGGAATCGATTGGTGCTATTCAAATTTCGTAAAAACTCTTACATTTTTTAGAAATATTAATTTTATAAAAGGTCATTTCTACAAAAGTCGATTTTTACAATTTCTTCTGTATTTTTTTGTTATGCGATACAATAAAACAGACTTTAATGGATTTTACAGTTAAGATGTTGTACTGAAATAAAAAAATTACCTTAGTAAAAAAAATATAAACAAATATTTTTTCATGTGCTTCGAAGTTTAGATATTTTTGAAGTGTAAAAATAGGGAAAAATGAAAGATTTATGCATAGAAAATAATTTTATTCATATTATTAACACAGAAAAAGTATACAAAACATATTAGTATTTCATTGGAATGCATTTACGCATAGTGTACATAAACCTGACCTGTGGTCATCGCAAATGCGCTTCGCACATTTTGGACATCTCATGCGAGTGCGCCCTACCCTATCATGCTCGCAAAGTGCACCGCACTCGTGTCTCTTCTATTATCTTGAATTATTGTACGGCTGGTACATCAACGCGTAACAATTTGCTAATTATTTTTCTAATATGATGTCGCAAACGTTGCATCTCTAAGCGGCGTCGTAAGTGAGGCTCAACAAGACTCATAGCCAGATTTTTTATGAACTTCGAACGAGAAAGTATTGGGTTATCGGCCTGTAAATTATATAAAACGCACGAATTGATGCTGGCTTGGTTAAGCATGTTATAAAAAAATTTTAGCGGCCATCTTTTCGTGCGTCGTGCAACAGAGTATATGTGACATTTCTCGTCAAACGTATCGGTAGCGCCTTTACAAGCATTATAATCCATAATTATTTGCGGTTTATTCGTTGTTGCATTTATATTCGTATTATGGTATACAGAAGATAATAGAAAGACTTCTTGTTTTTTTTTAGGAACATAAGAAACTAACGTCAGATCAGGTGTAAACACAAAACGAGATGAGTCTACTGCAGTTGCTATTTTTAATGTAGATGGAATCTCTTTTTTATTTTTTCTGATTGTCCCAACAGCCCTTAATTGACGTTCCTTTTTTAATTTTTCGAAAAGAGGCACTGACGTAAACCAATTGTCCATAGTAAGAGTGCGCCAAGTTTCAGTAATAGAAGCCATTTCAACTAATTTACGAACAAAGTATGTTGGTACAGAATCATTATTTTGTGGTGTTACTTTGCCCACATACGGAATCGCCGACACCATATAAAAATGTTCTGAATCATTCAACATAAGAATTTTTAATCCATATTTATCGGGTTTGTTTTTCATATATATGCGAAATGAGCATCTGCCTCTAAAAGAAACTAATTGTTCATCGATTGTACAATTATGTGAAGGCTCATAGTTATCAATACAATTTCGCATGAACATTTCTCAGAGCTCTCGAATCGGAGCTAATTTGTCAGTCGCCCTCCGCTGTAATTGTGTGTTTTTATCATCAAAATGGAGCATATGAATTAAAAATTTGAATCTATTTTCAGAAAATGTCGCTCTATAAATACCGCGTCCGAATTCTTCCGACCACATATCTGACGTATTTAACTTATATTCTTTGTAAATTGCGCTAAAATAAGAGACGCCTATGAATGCATTAATTTCAATTTCATCTGTCGGTATATGATAAGATTGAATAATCAAATTCGCGGCTCGTAAACGTGCGACTTCCCGGACAATTTCTTCATTTGTATGAGTCACGATTTTGTCCACAACATTATTTGTAAACAATACCTGGAAGGCCTGTAATGGGCTCTTAGCATTAAGGCTTCGCCTTTCGGAGAAGCGGTAAATTTTGTATTCCCGCTTGAACGTCGGCCACGTCTATCAGGCGGATTAGTACACCATTTCATGACGGATTGACTCGCTTTCATTGTTTTCCGAGGACGGCCTCTTGAACGCTACCGCGCAGCAGCGGTTATCAGTCTTTGCCTTTTCGATGCGTGTTCAGCCTCTGTCTCCAAAGAATCATCCTCTTCACCTTCTTCTTCGCCTTCCTCTTCGCCACTCTCTTTACCGTCGTTGCCTTCCTCTTCATCAGACCTCTCGTCACCCGAAACAACGAAATTGATATCTTCATCATCGGAGTTGCGTCTATCATCATCATCAAACGAGTCCTCTAAGATGACTTGACACACTGATGAAGTTGTACATAAATTGTACCGACGCTCTTCAGCCATTCCATAAAACTGTTTAAATTTTGACATGTTTATTATTGTAAAATTTACTGGTTTCATAATTGATAACTTTATTAAAAATTCATTAAAACAACAATTATAAGCTTAACAGGACGATTAAAGTTCATGCGATCACTAATATACTCATATAAATAGAGTAAGGAAGGGTAATATGGAATACCATTTTTATTTTTGCGATTATCTCGGACCGTATTGGCTAAAATATAATAGTTCAGGTTAACCCACATGGTATTCCATATTACCCGGCATATTCCATATTACCCTTCCTTACTCTATAATTATCAAGAAAATTTAATTTTATAGTGTATAAAATATAAGGAAATAATTATTCATGTAAAAAACTACTTACATTTCGCAAAATGAAGCTGCTACGTATCAAAAAACACTTTCCTGTAATTTTTATTGAGCACCAAGTTTACAGCGTCTACAGGCACAGGTGCGAATACGCACCAACATCAACTTTCGACGTTTGCCTCTCGGAGAGTAAAGCGCAATTGACACTGTATATCATGGTATCAGACATTGGAGTTCTCACACATATTTAACGTAGTGGGGAAAGACCTGTGTTCTCACTTGTCTCTAAATACTCAACTTGAAATTTTCAGGAGGTGCAAATTCGCACCCATGTGCCTTCTACGGGATAACATTCTAGCACGTACAAATGTTTTGTAAATAATATAAAAATAAGGTTGGGAAAATTATTTTTAAAAATTAATGTGTTATCCATTGACCGTTATCTATTGAAAAAAATGACTTGTTACCGTTATCGTTATTTAAGGAGTAACGAATTGTTAAAATATTATTATCATGTTATATCATATTTTTTTTTGGAATACGTTTTTTACCCATATTTTGTATATGCGTATTTTATATAGGCAATATAACGACAAAAGTAATGATTATATTCGTTATTATACCCAAAAAAATTGTATGTATGTGTGTGTGCGTGTACATGTGCGTGTGTGTGTGTGTGTGTGTGTGTGTGTGTGTGTGTGTGTGTGTGTGTGTGTGTGTGTGTGTGTGTGTGTGTGTGTGTGTGTGTGTGTGTGTGTGTGTGTGTGTGTGTGTGTGTGTGTGTGTGTGTGTGTGTGTGTGTGTGTGTGTGTGTGTGTGTGTGTGTGTGTGTGTGTGTGTGTGTGTGTGTGTGTGTGTGTGTGTGTGTGTGTGTGTGTGTGTGTGTGTGTGTGTGTGTGTGTGTGTGTGTGTGTGTGTGTGTGTGTGTGTGGTGTGTGTGTGGTGTGTGTGTGTGTGTGTGTGTGTGTTGTGTGTGTGTGTGTGTGTGTGTGTGTGTGTGTGTGTGTGGTGTGTGTGTGTGTGTGTGTGTGTGTGTGTGTGTGTGTGTGTGTGTGGTGTGTGTGTGTGTGTGTGTGTGTGTGTGTGTGTGTGTGTGTGTGTGTGTGTGTGTGTGTGTGTGTGTGTGTGTGTGTGTGTGTGTGTGTGTGTGTGTGTGTGTGTGTGTGTGTGTGTGTGTGTGTGTGTGTGTGTGTGTGTGTGTGTGTGTGTGTGTGTGTGTGTGTGTGTGTGTGTGTGTGTGTGTGTGTGTGTGTGTGTGTGTGTGTGTGTGTGTGTGTGTGTGTGTGTGTGTGTGTGTGTGTGTGTGTGTGTGTGTGTGTGTGTGTGTGTGTGTGTGTGTGTGTGTGTGTGTGTGTGTGGTGTGTGTGTGTGTGTGTGTGTGTGTGTGTGTGTGTGTGTGTGTGTGGTGTGTGTGTGTGTGTGGTGTGTGTGTGTGTGGTGGTGGTGGTGTGTGTGTGTGGTGGTGGTGTGGGTGGTGGTGTGTGTGTGGGTGTGTGGTGTGTGTGTGTGTGTGTGTGTGTGTGTGTGTGTGTGTGTATAATTCTCCATTGGTTATTTATTATGGCATATTTACTATGTATGTTATGGTAAATATCCAATGAAAGAAAGCTGGGTTAGTTAAGAAGAAAGCTAGCTGAATTATAATGTAATTAAATGATATTTCAGTCATTTTTATGAATTATTTTTGAAGTATGAATTATTATAAATAAAAATATATTTATAATATGTATATATTATAAATAAAAAATGAGATTTTTTCATAAATTAGAAAAATGTAACACGATTATTTAAGGCATTTTTTAATTTTGTGCAATCGAGTTAGTATGTAAAGAGAAGGAAGAGGGGAAAAGGAGGAAGAAGAGAGAACTGAGAGGTAATGGATTGTAATAAAAGAAGAAAGAGCTAGACTTTTATCTTAAGAGATGCTGTTCTTTAAATAATTCTTACACTTGTTGAGAAATCATCTTACAACTAAAATCTCAAATGTTATAGTTATCTAACGAAATCAATTTTATGTATTTATCTTATTATACATTATTAATTAATTTGTTTATTTTCATGATAACGTTACTTGGTTAATAATTGGGATAACTATCTTATCCTTACTTTAATGAAAAAAACTATCAAGTTGTTAGTATATAGAAAGTAATTTGTAACGATGTTATAAGTAACACGTTCTTTTCCAACCTTGATAGTAATACATCTTAAGCATGGGCCATTGTCAGAGCTCATAAGCATTTCTTATTTTATTATTAAATTTAAACAACTGGTTGTAGTTAGTAAAATAGTAGATGATGGAACAATAAATGTCATACTGGATGGATATGGCAACACTATACAGTATAAAAGACTACCAGTTATACGAAAAATGCAGCTTTGTTTTTTAAAATAATATAAATGAAATAATAAAGTTTTATTTTTTATTAAAATAAGAAAATTACCAGAAACTATTTTTTTTAAACTAAATAGTGAAGTTATATATATGGGAAGCAATAATATTTATTGACGTTAAAGCATTAATTTATTTAGACTAATTCATTGATCAAATCGGTTTTGTATATTTAATAAAATGTATTAAATCTAAAAAGAAACATCCTTTGTACTATAATTCATGCAAAATATATATACAGGGTGTCTCAGAACTTTGGCACACGGGCGTGGAAACGCCTAACTTTGCGCTGTTATAATTAAAAAACTATTACGATTTTCACATTATGGCACAGGACTTTTTTGTTCTTCTCACTTAGTTCTATGTCCCTACGGAGCCCGTGTGTCAAAGTTCTGAGATACCCTGTATACAGCACGTTAAAGTATGGTACCTTTAGTGATGTTTATTTTTTGCGATAATATAACCATTATAGTGATAATCAATGAAAGATCAAAATCTAACATTAAAATAATGCACACTTGCTATGAACTTAGAACATTTTTTCAACTATGTAAAATATTTGAAATACGAAACAAAAAATGCAGAAGGGACACATATCTGTCTAAATAATAGGCAACTCAACTGACTGGATAGAGTGTTATTCTGAGAATCCCACACACTTTGATAATTTTTTTATTTTCACTATCATATTGCCAATTTTCGAACAGTCTTCAAAAAATTTAGACATGATCTTTCTGAAAATATTAATTAAAAAAATTATTATAAGAAGTCGATTTATTAAATTTCTGCTATGACATTCTTAAGTACTCAATAATTAAGATTGAAAATTAAAATTGTTTAATATACAGGGTGTTCCATTTTAAAAATCGCACCTAGATAAGTTTTCAACGAAGCATTTTCAGCAAAAATGTTTTGGACAAAAGTTGTATGATTTTAAAGGGGACATAAAATAACTAAACTATTTTGTTTACAAATGGCACCACTTTCGAAATATTCACTAATTATTACTTTTCTTAAATGGAAACACAATTTTTGATTACACCGTCTTTTTCTACCAATTAATTTAACCAACTTTTGTCTGAAACATTTTTTTATTTGCCTAATATTTTTTGAGATATGTAAGGAAAACTTGATAACTTTTTCAATATTTAACTTATGATATCTCGCTAACTATTTGTCAGAAGAAAAAGTGGTACTAGACTTTTTTGTTCTACTTGGTCTCAAGAATATGTTGTTACAATAGCGCCCTGACTTTTGTTAATTTGATGATTTTGAAATTTCCAAAAGTCAGTGGAGGAATCGGTGAGCGGGGAGTTAGATGATCAGTCCTCCGTCCGTTAGTACTCGGTGGTGGAGGCGCTGAGGATTGGGAAAGAATCCTTCGCCCTGTCCTGTCCCTTTTCTGCAACATCCGGCAGGGACACAAGCCCTTATAGGTGTCCTACCAGATGCAGCGGTGCGAGCATGAGCCTCCTTAGTGGTGGTGGAGGTGGTGGTGGTTCCATGCCTGTCCCTGCTCCTCGTCCAAGGAGCCCGCGCCGCTGCCTGTGCTTCCAGGCGTACGCCTCTGGCAGCGGCAGCGGCGCTGCCCTCGATCCTCCACCCGTCGGCGGACCTTCTCCGCCGTTCCTTTGTGCGAATAGCAGTATCCAAATGCTTAAATAGCTGTATTGTTGAAACTGCTGAGAATACTAATCATGTTCATGTTAACTTTTTTTTTCTAATAATCCATACTATTGTCTCTCAAAATATCCTTTCTTCCCGATTTACCCTGTACAAAATAATAATTAACCGCTTAGTTGGGATTGACGCACTTTTCCGTCAAAAAAAGACGTGCCATAAATGGTATTGACGCACTAATGTGCACATCGTTTATTTTTGTATTGACTGGTCTGATTTTCATAAAAATCATATTTTAAGATTTTTGAGGTTATTGAATAAGAGTTTGAGGTCAAAATATGGCAATTCAAAATGGCGGACCAAAAAAATCTATCTAATTATTATGAAACTCGGTACCTGGGAGTTTTTCAGGTGACTGAATAAGAATTTGAGGTCAAAATATGGCAATTCAAAATGGCGGATCCAAAATGGTGGACCAAAAAATAAAAATCTATCTGATTATTATGAAACTTGGTATCTGGGAGTTCTTTAGGTGACTGAATAAGAATTTGAAGTCAAAACATAGCAATTTAAAATGGCGGATCCAAAATATTTCTTTATTGAATTTCTGAAAAAAATCTAGTTGCTATATATTGTCTTGAATTTTCAAGTTTTAAACTTAAATTCCTTTTTAGCAATCTGAAAAATCTCTAGATATCAAATTTCACAATAATCATAATTTCCTTTTTTTTACTACTATTGGATCCGTCATTTTAAATCTTGAAATTTATATTCAGCATCTTGGAAAACTCCTACATATTGAATTTCACGAAAAATCAGATATATTTTTTAGCCATTTTGGATTTGTTATTTTGAATTTTCATATTTTGACCTCAAATCATATTCAGCCACCCGAAAAACATTTTAATACCGACGTTTATGAAAATCAAGTATGATTTATATGTTGCCATTTTAGGTCAGTTGATGCTGTTTCTCAGTGCCAACAAAGTGATTAATGGTTAGATGGAAGATTACAAAGTTATAAGATAAAAGACAAATATATAGACACTACGAATCAATCACTATATATTAGGTAATAAACTTCATTTCTGTCATTTTTCGTCTCCAAAATTGATTTGTTTTGAAGGGAAGATGAATGAATCTTAATCAAAGTAATTTCCTCTATTATCTACTACTTTTTTCAATCTCTCCGACAACAAGGCAATTCCACGAATAGGTAGAACGCAGTGTCTTTTTGCGGCGATCCATTCATCCACCCATTTTTGGATTTCTTCTGTAACTGGAGAAATATGTGTCCCTAAGTGTGTATTACATCGACCGGAAAAGATGGTAATCCGATGGTGCCAAGTCTCCAGACTTGACTACTGTCCAGAGTACGCTGGATGTAG